TTCAGGAGTACATCTAGTGACTGAGGCAGCAGCTATCAGTGCTCTCCCATGGGAAGAGCCACTCTGCATTTAGCCCGAAGTTTTCTTTAGATTCCAACAAGTCCTTGTTCCTGACAATTATCAGGTCAAAGGCTGCTTTTCCTTGTGAGGTGTCTGCAAAGCAAGGGGGTCACCAGGCTCCACAGCCAAAGGAGCTCCAGCAGGGCTCAGTTATCCAGAATTCAGGCATAAACTTACTTTTTAGTCTCTTCACTTTTCTTCTTGGTCTCTTCAGTTTTCTGTTTAGAGGTGCTTTCTGCTTCAGGGTTTTGTGCTGTGTACAGAGAAGGAAATCAGTTAATGAACCAGACTCATGGGCACACACACACATGAACAAATCTAACCCCTGTGCATCATCTGAAGCAGTTTTTAGAACCCATTCAGTGACATTTTAATTAAACTAGCATGGCTGACTGCTAGGGAAGAAACAGTGCTGGCAAAATGCAATTTTAAAAGCTTATGGAGCATAAAACTCCATGAATTCTTTCCCCCTCCCCAGACAAAAGTATCCCTGGACACTTGGAAAACCTGTGAAGTCTGAATGCAAATGACATTAACTCCGAGCTGTCTGCTGAGCACCTACAAGTTTTTAACACCATAATGTCCCTAATTTATCTAATTTATCTCTGTTAATTTAGAGGTAAATTCATAAGGATGGTGCAGTAACACCCGAGGTGAACCACGTACTGCTCTTCTGTTTGGGGGCACAACCAAGAACTTCCCTGCAGGACTGTCCCTGGATCAGCAGCAGCTTTAGGAGCATCCCGAGTGTCACAGCTGCAATCACACAAAATCATCCTCAGAATTACCAGGTGCTGCAGCCTGGGGAGGTTTCTCACTGCCCTTGCTTGCAGCCTGAGGTCTCACAGCAGCCTGCTGGGGCACTTTGGGTTGGAGCTGCTGAGCTGGTTGGTTGCTGGGTTGTTTTTGGGTGGACAGAACAGGTTTTTGGGGTTGTGCGGGGACTCGCTGGGCAAAGTTTGCGGGACACAGAACTCGGGCTGGAGCTCCAGTGGTCAGTGAGCGGCTCGGGGCTGAGTGCTGCGACACGGGGACACGTCTGGGGGCATCCCCGATGGGATTGGAGACCTTCAAAGAGAAAGGAGAAGGCGTTAATTGTGCAACAGCACAGCAGAACCCTCATGGCCCCATTCAGGATGGCACGGCCACACAAAAGCACTTTAACAGAATCACGTATTTAGTTGATTAAAAGAAAATTTTGCTTATGCTGTTCCAAAAACTTATCAGGTCTATTTGGCTTTATATAAAATACTGACAAAGTGCCTGTATTTCTAAATAGAAGAAACACAATAATAAGGGTGATCTTGAGCACTGCTGCAGATGTACATAGCACTTACTTTTAAAAACTGTATCTAAAATAATTTGATAATACACACTCACTTTCTCTTTAAGAGCTCTTAAATACTTGCAACAGAAGGAAGATTTCCCCATTTAATAAGATAGGCTAATATTAATAATAATTTTAAAAAACAGCTTGGGGCTCTGTTTTCTCTAGGAGAAAGGCACTGAAAGACAGATTTCTAGTTAATATGCGATGGGGAGAAACAAACCCACCAAGCAAAAACTAAAAACCACCACTCCCAGAACCTAGCAGAACTTTAATGGCAAACTCCCAGGCATCGAGTCCAAGGATGCAGCAGAAGAAATTGCTCAGGAAGAGGAACATAAGGGTGTGAAATACGCGGTCTACCTTGGCGGCGCGGCCGGGGCAGGCAGCGTGGTTCTCCTTCATGTTCCTGTCCATAGCGCCAGAGCGGGAGCGGCCCGAGCGGCTCTGGCTGAGGGCGAGAGGGAGCCAGCGGGGCTCAGCGAGCGGAGCACAGGAAATGGCGGGTCCCTTATCGATCCCCACTGTTTATCGGCAGAGATCCATCACCAATCCCCCCCGCCCGCCCTCAGGCCCGGCGCTCAGCGCGGAGCCGCCGCCTCAGGGCCGCCGGAGCTGTTTGAATTCAAACCGCCGCGCCTTAAATACCCCTTTAAACCCCCGCCGCCCGCCATTGGCCGCCCTCCCGCGGCCCGCGCACGCTGATTGGCTCCTCCCGCGGGCGGCCCGCTCGCCTATTGGTTACCAGGCGCGCTCCGCCGGGCCGCGAGGGGCGCACGCGCCTCGCCGCGCCGCGCCCCTCCACCGGCGTTGTCGCCGTGCGGCGCGTTACGCACTTTGCGTAGCGCCGCGCCGCCCCCCCCACCCCGGCGCGCGCCGCCCGCGCACTTCCCGCCGGGCCGAGCCGCCGCTTCCGCTACGCAAATCGCGTAACGCGCCGCGCTCCCACCTGTGGCCGCCGCCGCCTCCGCTCCGCTCCGCGCCCCGGGAGCGCCGCCAGGTCAGTCCCGCTCCCGCCGGACTCCCCCCCGACACACCCCCGCCCACCCCCGGGCGAGGCCGGGCAGCGGCGCCGCTGCCAGCGCGCGTGGGGCCGAGCGCCAGCGGGGCCATTGTGTGCGTGCCCCCCCCGGACGGGCCGAGCAGGGCCGGAGCCTCCCCGGTGCGGCCCCGGGCAGCGCCACGTGCCGGCAGCGCTTCAGGGCGAGCGCCGAGCGCCAAGGCCCCGCCCGGCCCGGCCCGAGCGACCGCGCACCCCTCGCAGGCGCCGGGACAGCGGCAGCGCGGCCGCTCAGCGAGCGCGGCCCGCGAGCAGCGCAGCGAGCGCGGCGTCAGGCGCTGCTGCCCCGCGGGTCCCCGCCAGGGAAACTCCGCTCGGCGCTCGGAGCTGGTGAAGAACTGCGAGGCAAGGCACTGAAAAGTTCACTGTCTCCGCGGTGCTGAAAACAAGAGCGAAGGAGAGCCTGGTTGTGTGTGTCGGTGTTTACAAGTGGTTCAGGATAGGTAAAAAGAAGATGTCGGGTCGCCGTGTCGCTGCAGCGTGTGACAGACGACAGCTGCCCCGGGGCATGGGGGGCATGGCAGCCCCGCTGCTCGACCCGCGCCCGCTCCGCCTGCCCTTCCTCGAGGCTGACGTGAGTAGCGCTCGGGGCGGGGACGGTTTGCGCCGGGGCCGGGGCCGGGCCCGCCCGCAGCGCTGCTGGGCAGCCGCGCCAGCCGCTTCATTCCCAGCCCGTTCACGTCGCCGTGTTTGGGATCCGGGCGCTGGCGGAAGCGGCGCTCCGGAGCTTTGCGGCTGCGACACAAAAGAAGCCCCGGGCTCCCCCCCGCGCCCGCCGGGGGCCGGGCCCGCGCCGCTCCCCCGCCCCGAGAGCGGCTCCGCGGCCTTCCCAGCGCCCCGCTGGCCCCGAAGGGGAACGGGGGGATGGACCCTCGGCGTCCCCGGGAGGGAGGGATGGGGAGGGGGAATGGGCAGCGGGACCCCCGGGATCCCTGAAAGGGAGAATGGGCAGCGGGACCCCCGGAAGGGGCGGGGTGGAGAGAAGGGACCCCTGGAAGGGGAGAAATGGGGAGGGGGGTCCCCCAGGACCCCCGGGAGGGGGAACGGGGAGAAGGACCCCGGGATTCCCCGGGGGGGAGTGGGGATTTGGGATCGGGACCCCGGAGCGGGATCGGGGATGGGGACCCCGAAGCGCGATATGGAAGCGGGATCGGGACCCCCGAAGCGGGATCGGGGCTCCGGGGACCCCCGAAGCGGGATCGGGGCTCCCAAGCAGGATCGGGGACCGGGAACCCCGGAGCGGGATCGGGACCCCCGAAGCGACATCGGGGGTTGCGACCCCCGTAGCGGGACCGGGACCCCCGAAGCGGGATCGGGGCTCCCAAGCAGGATCGGGGACCGGGACCCTCGGAGCGGGATCGAGGATGGGAACCCCAAAGCGGGATCGGGACCCCCGAAGCGACATCGGGGATCGGGACCCCCGTAGCAGGATCGGGACTCCCGGAGCGGGATCGGGGGTGGGAAGCCCAAAGCGGGACCGGGACCCCCAGAACGGTACCGGGGGTCTGTCCCCCCTACCCGGGGGTCCCTCCCCGTGACGCGGGGGGCGTGGCGCTGCCGTGACGCCGCCCCGTTGTGTCGTGTCCCCCCCCCAAGAGCCGCCTCCCATCGATGTGCGGGCGCTCGATGCAGCAGCCTTCGCGGAGGAGCGTCCTGCGGGCCCGGCCGCCCCCGCCGCTGCCGCCGCCGCCGCTCGATGCGCTCCGCGCGCCCGCCGCCATCTTAGGGGCAGAGCGCGGGCGGCAGAAGGAAGGCTCGGTACGTACCGGCACCGCCCGCACCGCGGCTCGGCCCGCCCCGCGCGGGCCCGGGCCGCCGGCGGGGCGGGGAGGGCGCGGGGCTCCCCGCGGGGCGGGCGGCGGGGCTGTCGTGCGCGCCCCGCGCACCCATCCACCCACCCATCCATCCATCCATCCCCGGGCCCGCCGGCAGCACCGGCCGGCGCGCTCGGCTCCTGCCGCCGGCTCCGCTGCCGCGTAGCGAGTGCGGGCCGCTCTGCGGCCGAGGTTTGCAGTCACACAGAAAGGCAGCGCAACAGGTTTTTCCTCCCCTTTTCCTTCCCTTTCCCCCTTTTTCCTCCCTGTTACCTCCCCCTTTTCCTCCCGTTTGCCTCCCCTTTCTCCCCTGTCTTCCTTCCTTTCCTCAAGTCTTTTCCTTCCCTTTCCCTCCCCTTCTCTCGTCTTTTCCTTCCCTTTTCCCTCCCCTTCTCTCGTCTTTTCCATCCCTTTTCCCCATCTTTCCATCCCTTTTTCCCAAGTCTTTTCCTCCCCTTTCCCGAGTCTTTTCCTTCCCTTTTCTTTCCTTTTCTCCCGTCATTTCCTTCCTTTCCATCCCTTCTTTTCTGTTCTTTTCTCCTGTCTTTTCCATCCCTTTCTCCCATCTTTTCCTTCCCTTTCTACCACCTTTTCTTCCCCCTTTCCTCTTCTTTCTCTCCCTTTTTACTCCTCTTCCTCCCCCACCTTCCTCTCCCCATCTCTGTTTTTCACCAAAACCAAAGCAATATTTGGTGCCTGCCCTGAGATTTGTTCCAAGGTTCTGGTGGTTTCGTGCAACTCTCTCGTATGTGATTTCTGTTCTTCATTCCAGGCCCCCCCAAGGCAGTCCCTGCTCACAATGTATAGGACAAAAGTCAGTTTGAAAGATCGTCAGCAACTTTACAAACTGATAATTAGCCAGCTGCTCTATGATGGATACATCAACATTGCCAATGGCTTGATAAATGAGATCAAACCACAGTCTGTGTGTGCACCCTCTGAACAACTGCTGCACTTAATTAAGTTAGGTAAGCTGGAATCTGGAATCAAAAGCTGACATAAAAGTCTAGTTTCTAATTCCCCACTGAAGTAAGAGGTTGGTGTCACTGGAAAGACACCTCTGATGCAAAGGTGGTGTCTGGTAATAGCACAGCACTTGTACATCTGGGTACAGCCTTTGCCTCTGTGGGGTTATGAAGGGCATCCCTGTGTGATTAACAGCAAACCAGATCCCTGAGTGTGGCCCAAATCTGTTTGAACTCCTCTAAAGACACTCAGGGTTCTGGGTGGGTGGCAGCCTTCTCAAAACACCCCAGTGAATGGGGTCACTGAACCCCCAGATCTGAGGGAAAATCTCAGCCTTATAGTTCTGCTGACTTGAGAAAGAAATAATTCCTGTCTGGCTGTTCCTGGCAGTGTTGGAGAGGGAGCAGGTCCTTCCCTTGGCAATCTTTGCTGGCTTTTATAGATCAGTCCCCAGGAAACAGCTGCACACTCTGGGGTCTCAGCAGGGCTGTCACCTGTTCCCTCCCTGTACTTCCCTCTGGAAGTGCCACATTGTGGGGAAAACGGGGAAAACCCCTGACCTGCTCTTGGAACAAGCTGACCAAGTCCTGGAGGAGCTCTGGCCATGACACCATGTGTAACCCAACTGGTTCTGCTGCCTGAACTAGCTGAGTTCTGAGGGTATAAGTCTGTGAAGCTTTGTGTCTGTTTGAAATGCAAATTCTAGACTTGAAATGAGCAGATGAAAGCAGCAAAAAGATCACCACTGGGCTGAAAACTCTTGTGTCTGCTCTGTTGCCACCTCCAGGCTGAACCCTAGTCTGTAACTGGATCTTGAAAATAAAGATAAAAGTCTGGGAAGTGGGCTTGAAGACCAGCGAGTTTTTTCTCTTGCAGTGCTGGGACAGTTTGGCGTCAGAGCAAACAAATAGGAAAAGAATCAGTAAATACTTTGGGTTTTTACTTTAAAACTCACGTAATAGTGTTGGAGCTTATTGCTCTTCTGTGAAAAGCTGACCGGAGGCCTGTGCATGGTCAGTGACTGATTTCCCAATCTTCACTGGGGGTATTTCCAGAGCTCCTGAGGAGCTGAGCCTGCTCCAGTGCAGCCCATCTCTCCCTCACTCCTCCCCAGTGCTGTGTGACCCAACCTGCTCTGCCAGCTCAGCTCTCCCCCAGGACTGCCTTTCCCAAACCTTCCCTGGAGCCGTGGCAGGCTGAGGGGAAGGCTGCCAGCCCTGAGTGCCACCCTGCTGTCCCCAGGCATGGAGAACGACGACAGCGCTGTCCAGTACGCCATCGGCCGCTCGGACACGGTGGCGCCGGGCACCGGCATCGACCTGGAGTTCGACGCCGACGTGCAGACCATGTCCCCCGAGGCCTCCGAGTACGAGACCTGCTACGTCACCTCCCACAAGGGGCCCTGCCGCGTGGCCACCTACAGCAGGGACGGGCAGCTGATCGCCACGGGCTCGGCCGATGCCTCCATCAAAATCCTGGACACCGAGAGGATGCTGGCCAAGAGCGCCATGCCCATCGAGGTAAGGGATTGTGAGCACTGGGAATCCTGTCCATGCCATGCTCGTTGGGATAATGAA